CCCTCCCTCTCTCTCTCCCTCTCTCTCCCCCACTCTCTCTGAAAAGCAATGGAAAAAATAGCCTCAGGTGAGGATTAAAAAAAATTCTGGCAACTTAATTTTTAAAATAGGAACAATCAATGTCTAATACATTGTAACATAAATATTAAAATCTCAATGCAGTATTATAAAACTATGAAGTTCTTTAGTATAATATATATAAGATTATAAGATGTTTAAGTGAAAACCATAAAATTTCCTATTCTATAATCTTATCAATATTATAATCACACACAGACAAGATAATATCATGGTAGACAAGCTGTATTAAAGTTGAATAAATTGATTCAAGAAGCATGGATTAATGTTTCTCTATCTTAATATCCCATAAACTGCTGTGATTTTACCTGTGTAAAATTTTAAAGATTTCACAAATCTTAACATGTTGCTACCTAAATCAATGAAATCTCCGGGAACAGTACTTTCAGACATACACACCCACATAACCCAAAGTCTGGATGAACCACGACAAACACGCCTGGCCTGCCCATGTGACACCCCACATTCAGCCACCTGCCTCCATCCTGACCATACCACTCTCATCTAGGTCATTACCACCTACCTCCTGGACACGCAACAGCCCCCTAACCAGTTTCTCCACCTGCAATCTCCTGGCAGCGCCCACACCAATCCATTCTCCACAGCTAGGCCAACGGGTAGTTCAAAATCATGTCACTCTCCCTGCTTAACACCTGACAGCTAATAAAAGGACTTTAGCTGGATCTTGACTCAAACAACTGTATAATAAAAATCTAAAAATGACATTTGGGCCCTGGCCAGTGTGGCTTAGATGGCTGGGGCATCCTTTTGTACACAGAGGGTCATGGATTTGATTCCAGGTCGGGGCACTTGCCTAGGTTGCGGGTTCAGTCCCTGGTTGGGGTGTGTGCAGGAGGCAGCAAATTGATCTCTCTCTCTTTCTCTCTCTCTCCCTCCCCTATCCTCCTCCCTCCCTCCATTTCTCTTTCTAAAATCAGTGAGCATGTCCTCGGGTGAGGGTATTTTTAAAATAAATAGTAAAAATAAAAAGGACATTTGGAAGATTCAGAAATCTGAACACTAACTAGACTTGGATGGCATCAAAAAAATGACTGTCACAAATCTGAGGTGTGATATCATCACGGTCACATTAGATACTTACAGAATATTTATGGATGAAATGACAGGACACTGTATGGTGTGAAGGCAGAGTAAGGGTTACACAAGAGAAACAAGACTGGCCATGAGTTAATAATTACTGACGCTGAATGAAGAATAAAAATACAATGGTTCATTACACCATTGTATTTTGTATGTTTCTGAAATGCTCTGAGAATAAAATACCTCCAGACCTTACATACACTGGTTTCTGCCTGCCTTCAGGTGAACACATTTCTGCATGTTCTTTCAGACAGATATTACTGATACTGGGATGAAAGGCTATTTTAAGATTAAAATCCCTTCTTTCTGCATAGTATGTCACTCTGCCTAGTATGTCATTTATTGACCTGGAAATAACAATGGGTACCCTGGAATATTCTTTCTTAGCCCCAAGAGAATCCATCCTTACTAATGTGTAACTAAACCTCAGATCAGACACCAGACAAATTTTTGCTTCTCTAAGATATCTAATGGGCTTATTCTAAAGCTTTTGGGCAGATACCACTATTTCTTGGCATGTTCCTTCTGGTACAGATATTTTGCTAATAGCTAACTATTCCAACCACTCACATAATTCACTTTTGAATCCTTAAAGGCAGAACACTCAAACCACAGGCTGAAACCAGAAGGTGGCTACTACTGAGATTCTCTGGGCAAGGTGTCTGCTAGAAAACCCAGTCTCATCCACTGTTAAATGCTCTTAAAACATGTCTCAGAAAGCATAATGACTGC